TGTTTCATTCAATTTTCCAACAAGCAAATAAACTTAATGAGAGTTTATTTTTCATGTACAATTATAAACATTAAACTGACAAAACATTTGGGTTGTTCACACTTGCATGGTTATCTGGTTATTTGCATGAACCAAAAATACAAGATCACGTAAGAACGCGATTTTTTATTTGTAACTGGTTTTGAGAAGAAAGCGTAATACAATCGAAATGGAACCTTGGTTATAAGCATATGAATATAGACTTACTACAAATTTTCAAAAGAATGCTTTTATGTTTAATGTTTTTATAACCATTTATTTAAATGATATTACATTAGGGGTCTTCATGAAAAGTGATAAACTCTTGATACTTGATAAAAGGAGTCTTCATAAAAAGTGATAAACCGTTGTTAAACTTGATAAAATGATAAATGTATCATTTTGATAAATGAATTGTCAAACTTGGTACGGACATCTACTTAAAGAAAGTTATCAGTTTATCACTTTTGGTGATAAATTTCAGCAAATTTCAACCCTGACAGACTGCCAGTTGGTCGATTTTGCTACGAACACATAAAAAGCCAATTAGCAAACTGGACGAGGTAAGAATGAAACTTTAATAGCCACAAAAGTTGAATAATAAACAATTTTGTGCAATTATTAACCAAGGTACGTTTGGCATACCTAAAGAATATCGACCCTTAAGCTAGAGAAAAAAGAAAACATGGACGTGGTGCACCCCTTTCTGCTGAGTTTAATGGTAAACTTTTTTTGGTTAAAATTGACAGGGGCAGCGCTAGGAGGGGAAAAACATGGAATTTCCAACATTTTCAAAAGCTTATATTTTGAAAACTAACATTCATTTTTATAAAAAGAATTGCCATAATTTCGTTTTTTACCTTTTCTCGCAATGTGTATACATTATATGCATAGATATATATATCCAATGAAAGGCCCTTTAATCACCTTTCCAACTGTGTCGATATTTAGAAAATCGGTTCAATAATTTTCGAAATATAAGCTTTTGGAAAATGTTGAAAATTCCACGTTTAGCCCACTCCCCTCTATCGCCGCCCCTGTCGATTTTCACCGAAAAAAATATGCCATTAAAATCTGGAAAAGATGCGGGCCGTGCCCACTTTTTTTCCCTAGCTCGAAGGTCAGTATTATTTAGGTGTTCCGTACGTTTATGAAAGAATGCGGATAAACTGATAAATTTAAGCAATTTATCCCTTTATTACTTTAGATGAAGACCCCTATTAATAACTCCTACTGGGAATTTTCGATATTTAAGAAAGTATCGATACCATGATTCGATTTAATTCATTGCATGTAGAATCGATATGGAGATTTGTCGAGCTGAACAATATCGATAACGGAAAAATCGATTTTGAGAATCGTACTCACAATTGAATAAAATATTAGACCCGCCTATCAACTCACCTAATTGCGTTACTTCTATCTTGTATATTTACTGAGTATTAAAACGGCATGCCGGTCGACTGTATTGTCAAAGAAGATAGACCAAGACAATAAAAGTATGTTCACATATCAATATTATCTCAATCAATGCTCGTTTTTTAATCACCCCGTTTACACAGGCAAATCTCAGATTATTAGCTGTCATATTTGTTGTGCTTGTTATTCTCACATCTCAAGGAAAAGTTATGTTTCTTCTTTGTGATCAGGTTTTTCTGCTATAATAAGCAATATAAATACATTAGTATTAGAGTAGCATTTAGAGCTAAATGTGTTTTTACGCGTAAGCAAAAACCATTATTATCTTTTTCTATCGAACATTCAATGCAACTTTGAGATTATTGTATCGAACATTCGACAATCACAAAACTTGGCGTTCTTTAGGTGAAGTGATCGATTTAGTTTGCGTTCGATAAAAGAGGTTCTCTGATAACACAGCGGTAAAGCGAGGAAGTGATTCCTTGAACTGCGTATCAATAAAAAAAAGTTTGCGTTCGGTAGACGTAATTACTCGTAATGTCGGCTTTGGCATGTCTCTGGAGATATTAAAACAAGGTGCCGAAGGACGACTATACATTAGTGAATTTAAGGGAGAAAAATGTTTAGTAAAGGAACGTTTTGTGAAACGCTATCGACATGCAGATTTGGATGCACAAATTACACGCCAACGAATGAAGGCCGAAACCAAAGCTGCGACTCGGTGTCGAAATGCGGGAATATTGGTACCACATATCTTGTATACCGATCTGAATGAGCGTAAGATTTATATGGAATATTTTGAAAATGCTGCCACAGCCAAAGAGTATAT